TTATTGATCTTATTGGAAAATCTATTGCAGGCTTAATGCTGAAACCTACTTGTACTATCCATTTAATTTTAGTATGAAAAATTACTTTTTTCTAGTGCGAATATTCGAAAAATGATAGACTAGCTCAAAATGTCAAAAATGTTCTAAGATGTCTGAATCAGAAAATAAGTTCTATCGGTATTTTTTTATAACTTATCGATAATTTTCCTTCAGCAGCTTGTCATTGGTTTATTTTATGATACGATATTTTTCTAGGTTTCAATAAACATTAAAGTTTTTCTTAACAAAAGAAATTGCGTTATTCCTTTTGCATTATTATATATGAGGGGGTTAGAAGGAAACTGGTGTAAGTGACTTTGATCGATTCTCTTCATCGACTTTCTCTTTCGTTAATAATTCAGCTGCAAACACATTCCTTGATTCATGTGCCATTCTGGATGCTAGATGAGAACCTCCTTTATCAAACTAAGTGGCAGAAATAGCGCAAAATCTGTTTATAAAGCTGTGGCTATCAAAAGGGAAACGCGATTAAGAGAATCGCTCAAAGTCACTTACACCACTTTCCTTCTAACCCCCTCATATATAATTTGAAATCACGTTTTGAAGCAGCTGATTTGGTAAAATATTTAACCTTAAATAGGCAGTACTTTTTTCATTTTCATTTTCATTTTGCAGCGTTTGGTGGGGCAATGGGAGCGCAAGTCAATCCAAAGCCGAGGATAAAGGACGGGTAATGGCTGAATAGTCTATGCGGACCACTTGAACGCCATGGGTAAAGGAAGGGATTGAAGAGGCCGGTTATTGGAGGGTTTTGACGAAATGACACATAGTGATGCTAAATGTAAAGAAACCGAAAATCCATCTCCCACTGATTCATCCTTTCACATATATACCAAATTGATATCTTAAAGCAATAATCAAAATAAACAGACAATACATGAAAAGGCTAGTTGTCAGTTGCTTTAAAAGCTAGTTGCCTCCCTAAGCGGACCCTCCGCATCCTAACTCTTCTGTTAATCCACTGAATGCTACTAGGCTGTCTAAATTTTCTTATTTAAGTTCGTTTGATGATTATGATATCTCTAGTCTAATTTAATAAATAATTGAAATCTCTAATCTACCTACCATGCTTTATTAAGTACCTGCACTTGTGAATGTAATCTAAAATTTAACGTGTTTCAAGTTGTTTTTGACTTTGACCTATATTTAATATATATAAGTTCGTCCCAGGTGACACCTTCAAGTGACTAAAATGCTTCACTTTGAAGTAAGTTTCCTAGCTGATTTTAAATTACATAGGGTATATGCTTCAACTACGCTCACACGTTTCCACTATGTCGCACCACAAAAATACGTACGGTTATGTCACAATAGAAGCACACCACAGTGGAAATCCCGAGCCATAGTTCAAACACTTATCCCAAATCAAAATGAAGCACATATAAGATTAGTTGCAATACCATGTACAAAAATGTTTAACATTGTTCCCTGAGTAATACCTCAATGAAAACAACAACGAAAGCTTGTCACGCAAGTAGAAGGAGCACTGTTGGGCACTTTCTGAAATATTTCAATAGTATAATTCCCTTGCAAACCCAAATAAATCTATCTGCGTAAAAATTAATAAAATAAGAGTGATTTGCGGCAAAACCCGCCAGTATCGCACCCAACGTCACTGCCTATACGTAAGCGTACTACAACGCGGCTTTCAAATAAAGGAGTAACAAGTGTGATACTATCACTTCAGGCTAGAACTTTGGTTCTCTTATGCAATGGTTCATCAGAGAGGGGAAGCTCAGTAATCCTCATCGCATGCTCATGACGCTATTCTGTCACGGCATGAGCCAACGATGCCGGACCTAAACCAACCATCTCCAAGGCTCCACAATGAAGCATAAGATTAGGCCCGCCCACCAACGTCCAGGTTAAAAAACTAGCCAAGGGGAGGGAAATAGGCAGTACTTTTTTAAATTTATTTTATTTTACGGAAAAAAAAAATGTTTATTTTAAATCTTTGTATGCTAAAACTGTTTATTGTTGACCCTTCGTAAAACCTCAAGAAAACAGAATATTCATACCGATTGTTTACAAGAGTACTCATACCATCCCGATAGGGAGCTCGCTTTACCCCAACGCCTTTTTTTTTTCATCCATATAATTTATTTGTAAGGCTCAACTGTTAATTAAAACTCTACGGAGCCAAGAGTCAAGAGAATGAATAATTACAATTCAATTATTAAAACTAATCTGATCCGGTGCCCGAACGTAAAGAGCTGGGACGTAAGGTCTTCCTGGGCGGTGAACTATCATTGGCATACTTCTGTTGTTTCTGCTGTTGCTTCAGCAGCTTTGTATGCAGTTGAACGTGCTCAGTCCAGTTTCCAATCTTCTGCTGCTTTTGCGGTTGGTAGTGTAATACCGGTTGCTTCTGCTGCTGCTGGTTGTGTTGATTGTTCTGCTGTTTTCCGTGATCCAATTCAGCTTCCAGTGTTGTACCGATTTCTTCTTCTTCTTCTTCTTCCTCCTCTAGCATCTCTATTTCCAAATCTATTGCCTGCTTCTCGACATTGTCTGACGAACTCGTTCCTGCGAGAACGGCAGCGAATGTGTTTTTCCCGTCTTCTTTTTTTTCGACACCTGCTCCTGTGTCTCTTGTTATTTTAACGTTCCTCCTTCCGCAAGACTTTTTTTGATGTCCCTCTTGTCCACAAGCAAAGCATTTCAATTTATTTCCACTGTAGAAAATTCTTCCTCTTCTGCTAAGGAAGTAGATCGCTGGTGGAATTTCTTTCTCCACATCCATGTAAATTCCGCGGACACCAGTGAACAAATCCAGTTGATATCCGGGTGGATACTTTTCCCGCACACAGCGCTTAATCTTCCCAAATTTGATTAGTTCAGCAACAAGATCACGATCGGATACCTCCGGCGGTAGGTCAAACACCCGTACGTATTGGATGTTACAACCCGCTACCGACATGCAAACCTCCACTTCTGTTCCATTAGAATAATGGAACGTTTGCCTTTCATCGTTACAAGAGAGGGCTTCCCTCATGCCTTCCTCGGACTTGTATTTAATGAATACCGTCCTCTCCTCAGCATTCTTAAACGCCGTGTCCATTTTTCTCTGATCACCGGTGAGGCCTTTCACGAAGCGGACCATCTCCGGTAGAGTTGGCTGGGCAGCATTATTCGGAAATATGAAAGCAATGGTATTCGTGACGGCTACTACACTCGACATTTCACCGTACTGTATAGCTATCAAAAGCAACCAAAAAAAAACAACGCAGCGATCGAACAAACGTCTATCGGCAATGAGATCTAATCTTCAACTGCCCCCAACGCCTTTATTTCGATTACAAAACGAACATTTATTAAACCTTTTTTCATAAGATTCAAAAGTTTACTTTTAATATTCAATTTGTAATTGTTAATGAATAGAGCTTGAGACTATCAATTAGGATAAAAATCACTCGCATTTTACCCGGAATTTGGTATGATTACTGATGATTTCCTTAAGTTGGCCAAACTGCCACACTTTGCCCTATATGTTAACGCTGCTTCCGCAGTTTCGCCAGTTCCATGAGTTCTTTGTAGCGGGAATCAATCGCGGCAAGACGTTCCTGAACCTTCTGTTGTTCCGCTTCGGTCAGAATTAGATTCTTGGCCTGGCCATGCAGTTGTTCAATATTCTCAGCGTAGTTCTTCAGCTCATCCGCAACATCCTTGTGTTTCTTCAACAAGCTTTGAACGTTTGCTTCGTCACGACCGACATCTTCGGAAGAAACAAGACGCAATGCATCAAGCATCAAGTTGTCAATATCCTCAGCATCGGCAAACAGTTGGAAGTAATCGACGGCATTCTCGAGACGCTTACGCCGAGACACGGTCAAATCCAGAAGGTTATTCCACATCGCTAAGATTTCCTTCAGACGTTCAACGATACGGTCTGCTCCGAAATGTCCCTGTCGGACCAACTCATCTCCAACGGTGCTGACGGACATCAACTGCTGTTCGTGGTTATTGATTTCCTTCTCCAAAGCATTATGCTTAGACAGCAACAAGTTAACTGTTGTCAAATCGTGACCAATCTCGTCAACAGACACAATTTGTTCCTTTTCCTTGATCCAGTTCTCTTCATCGGCCATATCCCAATAGAACTGCCACAGTTTGCGGCTTTCCTCCAATCGAGAACGACGCTCAACAGCCAGTTTACATAGCTCAGCATAGGCTTCTTCTAGACGCTGTACGCGGTCAACAATGATGGCTGGATCGCAAGGTTTGTACCCACCTTCCTCGTCACCAAGGAATTTCTGCGAATTTTGTACAACTTGCTTAACGCGCTCACCCAACACGTAACAGCGTAAAAAAATCTTACAAAAATATTTAAACAATATATAAAACGGTTTAAACAACAGTTTTTTGCTGTAGTTTTACAAACCCAATAAAACTAGACATATGTGATAGTTTCGACGTTTTCAGCAACTCTGTTCAACGTAATCTCAGAGACAACTTTGTAGAGGGAACGAAAACGCTTCGTTTAAAAGATACAAAACAGGATTGCTTTACATTAATCCATAGAACTGAAATTTTGCATACACAATGTAGGCCTTGTACAGCTGAACTACTTTTCAGAAGACATCAAATTGCTACCAAACATTACCCCGAGTAGTTATTAATTTTGCCCATCTATATTGTATATCTGGCCTACAGTGCATTGGTACATTAACCCCTATTCCCTATTTCTGAACAACATTTGGCATACCAAGTTCACTACCCAAATTACGTTGGATACTTGAGTCCTACACCCGTTTTCATTCAAATTCTTTTTGAACTCCCACTTTGTTTTACGCGTGTCGATGAGCCACAATACTAAGACCGGCCTCAGATGTAGAATTAATCCAGTGGGTTCCAAGAACCTACTGAGTCAAACATTGGCTAGTCTATTTAGGGTAATGTTTCTATTATTAATAGTTCCTTCGTAATTTATTTTCTCCTAGCCAATCCACACAACGGAAGTCCTGGAACGACTGGCCCAATTGGACCGCGACAGCGACAAACTGGACGCCAGAAGTCAACCGGAGGATCAACCACTGCACAGCATGAACGAGATCAGCTATAGCGAGCGGCCATGGTACTTGTCCAATGGCGTCCGCTACCCGAAACCCGTACGGCGCAATCGCAAGACAAACAAACGGATCGCTCGACTTCTACCATCGGAAACGTTACGCAGCGATCGGATAACCAATCAACTGATGTTTGTACCACCCAACTACGAGGCCATCAAGCGCAAGGGTAAGCTGAAAACGATCCTCCTCTACAACGGACTGGGACCGTGGAATGTGAAAGCCGGTCGGGATGTGTTCCACAATTCCAAGTGTCCGGTCTCGACGTGCAGTATTACGTCTGCTCGGGAGAAGGTCATCACTGCGGATTTGATCCTGTACAAAGACCACTACATACCGCCGGCCGTGCCACGATCGCCGCATCAGATCTACATGATGTACTTCCTGGAGTGCCCCTACCACACGCAGCACGTCAAATTTCCCGACGTGTTCAACTGGACGGCCACTTACAGGTAGGTGCTACTGAGCTCTCAATTGCGTTCGAAGTAACAATTATATGTAGAACACCTGCACGCTTTGGTGACATTGAATGTTTTCTGTACCATTATTATTATTACATGGTTCAGTGATAAGAATATGACACACAATGTGCCTACATATTCCATGTATCTATAACCGGTTGTGGTGGATGAATTTCGTGAACAAGACTGTATAAAGTCTGTGTAAAATAGATTGGGTACGGTCACGCTCGATGTAGTGCGCTGCGCATCCGTCCGATGGCCTACTTTAAATCGCCAAAGTAAATCCAGATTATTGGTGAATCGGTGCACTTCTATCTCAAAATTCGGAACTTTAAGTGGGCCACGTTTTAGTTGCATCACATATAAAGATCCAAATGGCAACACAAATAGTAACTTAGCTGTACAGATTAATAACACTAATATCCAACGTGCTAATAAACATTCCAATAACATACAGCAGTCTTCTGGTTCCGACGATTCTCATATTTGCGAAATTGAACGCTACATTGCCAAAGTTTGATATTTTTCATTCAACACTAATTTAAACGATATATAATCAAGCCTGTTACAATTTTCCTATCTTGGCACTAATTCTTTAACATCACTGAAATCATTCTGAAATTGGAAAACTTGCATGACAATCTATGAACACGAGCATTATTTGTTTAATATATTATGAGCAAATCCAAAAACTATACAAGTGTGAACAAATAATGTTCATGCTGATAGCTGGTCATACAAACAAGTGTATCTGCGGCATAACAGCCTGCTCTGATTGTCGACATTTAATAGAGCTGGAACTAGGGCGTAACAGCTTTTGTAAACAATGACTTTTCGAAAGTCATGGCTCTCGCTGGCAAATCGACATCATCATCGACTTGGGGGTGGCTTCTCCTACCCGATGGATATGTTGGTTTATGTAGGCGTGCATTTAATTCGTAGAAATCAACAAAGGCTGTTACATCCTAATTCCAGCACTATCTAGATGTGTTAACAACAACGATTTTTTTCCCCAATGACTTATCTATTGCTGATCTGGTTCCGTTCAATAATCTGGACAATGAAATAGGCGTAAAATGACAAAATTCAGCTGCAGATGATTTAGGGGTGATAGATGAGAGAGTATTGACGATGTCGGCTACATGAGATTTCAACTCGATGATTTGATTAGGGTAAACGCACCAATAGTGGAGGTACGTTAGTGCAATGTGTTCCTATAGTGGCTTATGGAGTCTCCATAAGTCACATTGCACAAACATACCTCCACTATTGGTGAGTTTACCCTAGCTATCGTTGAAGGACTGGACATACACTCATCACAAAGCCAATAACATTGCTAGTCAAAGAACTCAGTTGAATTTTTCCACGCCAACACACGTTAAATTTCCCGACGCGCGCACTTTTTACAATCCAAAATATGATCCATTGTTTGCTAAGATATTAACAGTTGATTTAATTTTGAGATAGTACAAGGATCTACTTGGCACAAATTTATCTCCGATAGCAGCTAGTTATGCAGCGATTCCAGATCAATGCAGTAATTACAGTTTTACTAACTTACATTTGCAAAGCACTGACATATCATCGTTTGAAACGAGCACAGAAATAAAACCTTAAGCGAGGCAAACAAAGGCTTACAACATTTTTGTGTAGATTCCTTAACTGCTGCAATACAATGCAAAAGAGTGTGTAGCAAGGCGAAATATTTGTTTTTCTTTATTCATACAACTGATCGTACAAAAGATCAACCCATTTATCAGGGCGTCGACTCAATGAAGAAAACCAAATTCTCTGATTTTCCAGTAAGTTTCAAACAAATTCCAGTTGTAGTGTGTACATGGTTTTGTCAACACGATCTGATCAGCTATTACTTTCCACAGTTCTAGTTGCAGAACAGCCTATACAGGCACACATTAGATGCATAACGTAATTTTTCGGTTGTTTCAGCTAGTCTGCAGCCAAAATTGTTAGATGGGTTGTGGTTTCTGGACATTTTTCCATTAAATACCACATGGACCTCTAACCCATGAGAGTGATACAGTACAATCTCAAACTGAATAAAGCGTTCGATACGTTTAATAGAATGCAAAAAAGACAGAAATCGCGTGTTGCCAAAAACGGGAAGGCACAACATTTTTCTAAATTCACAAATTGTAATCGCGGTAAGCGCCAGGTAATCAATTCAATTAATGATCAATAGCGAAGGAAACTGCAACCATCTCGATATCAATCTACAAACAAGGCTTGCTCGATTTACATGATATTATATGAGAAGAGATCCTTGGCATGGCGATTTTCTCACCCTTAGAAGCAGTGTTGAAAATATTCACCAAAACTAACTATGACTCGCGACTTTTACCTTGTTGAACTTCGTGAAATATCGTGAACTTTTTCAACCCGGCTTAGAAGTTTTTTTCTGACTGTTTCTGAACTCAACGCTAGGGACAGAAAATAAACCAGTTCTCAAACATCTTACATATGAAACACATGTCTTTAATCCCTTGAGCACAATTTGAGACCCAGCTCCGCAAGAAAATTATTCCGGTCAATACGCTTAACAAAACGCTAATTTGCGACCAGATTCCTATGGTGGGAAATCGTAAAAACAGCGCATTTATCTTTCACTGAGAAGCTAATTTTCCGAGCTTATCAGATTTGCAATGAAGGCCTGGAATACTCAATAAAGCCACTATATGCTTGTCTACGTTTCTTTGAATCATATTTCAATCATAAAAGTACTACTTCAAGCATCAAAGACAAAATTCCACCCGAAGCAAGACCGTTCCTCTAAATTTTCATTTAATTTATTCTTTGAGCTAACCAAGCTGTTTAGAACACAATAAGGAACAGGAACTACAAGCGTTCAGAAACAAAAATCATCCTCTTAACACTTTACCATTCTTGAATTTACTCAAAAGCGCTCCAATGCGCCCAAAGGTCAGAAGCAATTAGGTGTAACATCTACTAAGAGACCAACACATACCAATTTGGAGGTTAAATTTTGCAACCACTAACAATGTCTAGTGTCTACGGAAATGGATTTTTATCAACCCTCAAGATCTCAGTTCAACTCAGGAATGCCAGCCCAGCTGAATTTATATTAGGCGCAAAATCATCAAAATACCCTTTTATTTGAGTAATTCTTGCTCAACTTGCATCAAGCATTGAGCAACCACAAATTCGCCACTCTATTTAAAATTTCAAATAAACAACCATCTTCAAACTACACCGAGTAATCAAGTTGTTTGAAACTAGCAAAGTTTGTCATACTTCTGTGATTAAGGTTCAATTTACTTTGATGCTTTTTGGAAAATTTCAAAAGCAGTTTTTTCCGACGCATTATTCCAGATTGCAAAAAGCTCGCACTATTCGATTCCTTTTGATATTTTACACAAAATGACGCGAGCTTTTTGCAATCTAAAATAATGCGTCGAAAAAAACTGCTTTTTATTTAAAAAAAAATGCATCAAAGTAAATAGAACCTTAAGAAATATTTCCCTGAATTTGAATGAAATTCCCTGAGACGCCCTGATTTTCCAGGTTTTTTTCAGGTAGTCGACATCCTGTTTATGTAAGCAGAATACCTTACTTACCTTACCAATCAGGCTAAGGCCTTGTTGTCCACTGCTGTCCGAAGAAGTCGTCTCCACTCTACTCGATCCATGACCACGCTTCGCCAGCCTCGTAGTCTGCGAAGGGTCCGCAGGTCGCCTTCTACTTGGTCGATCCACCTTGCCCGCTGCGCGCCTCTTTTTCTTGTTCCTGTTGGGTCGCTTTCTAGAACCATTTTCACTGGGTCGTCGGCATTCTTACGACGTGCCCAGCCCTCCGTAGTCGCCCAATTTTTGCAATGTGGACGATGGATGGTTCTCCCAGCAGCTGGTTCAATTCGTGTTCCATTCGCCTCCTCCACGTCCCGTCATCCATCTGCACTCCACCGTAGATGGTACGCAACACCTTCCGTTCGAAAACGTTGGTCCTCCACGAGCATAGTCCAGGTCTCGTGGCCGGTCTAATCAGCGTCTTGTAGACAGCCAACTTCGTGCGGTGGCGAATTTTATTCGACCGGAGCGTCCTCCGGAGTCCAAAGTAGGCACGATTCCCTGCCATAATGCGTCTTTGAATTTCTCTGCTGGTATCATTTTCGGCGGTCACCAGTGAGCCCAAATACACGAATTCATCGACCACCTCGATTTCGTCACCGTCAATCTGAACTCGAGGTGGGAGGCTAACCTCTTCCTTTCGTGCATTTCTTTGATGCGTTGAAGGCAAGTCCAGTCCGCCTAGCTTCAGCCTTCAGTCTGATGTACGTCTTCGCCATTGTCTCAAAGTTCCGTGCCATGATGTCAATGTCATCGGTGAACCCTAAAGATCGTGCCACCCGTGTCTATCCCAGCTCTTCAGATCACACCTTCTAACGCGATGTTGAATAGCAGACACGAAAGTCCATCACCTTGCCGTAACCCCCTTCGAGATTCAAAGGGACTCGAGAGTGTCTCCGATACTCGAACAACGCACATCACTCGATCCAACGTCGCCTTGACCAATCGCGTCAGTTTGTCCGGAAATCCGTACTCGTGCATAATCTGCCATAGCTGATCTCGATTGATTGTGTCGTATGCGGATTTGAAATCGATGAACAAATGATGTGTGAGCACGTTGTATTCGCGGCATTTCTGCAGAACCTGCCGAATCGCGAAAATTTGGAATCCCGCCTGGTATTGCCCCACGAACTCTCTTGCAAATGGTGACAGGCGGCGGCATAGAAGTTGGGAGAGCACTTTGTAGACGGCGCTCAGCAGTGTGATCGCGCGGTAGTTGCAGCAATCTAACTTGCCACCCTTTTTGTAGATTGGGCATACGACACCTTCCATCCACTCCTCCGGTAATATCTCCTCCTCCCAAATCTTGGCAATTAGCCAGTGCAGCGCTCTAGCCCATGCTTCACCACCGTATTTTAATAACTCACTGGGTAGTTGATCTACACCAGTTGCTTTGTTGTTCTTCAGCCGACCGATCTCCTCCTCAACTTCTTGAAGATCAGGGGCCGGTAGCCTGTCGTCTTCTGCGCGTGCTCCAAGGTCTGTTGCCGTGTCACCTTCGTTTTCTGCTGCTTCACCGTTGAGGTGCTCGTCATAGTACTGCTTCCACCTTTCAATCACCTCACGTTCGTTCCTATTGCGGAACGGATGTCCCTCCAGCCATCTTCAAGAGAAGCTGCGCCAAGCTGCTCTTCCGTGGGTAGTGCAACTTCCAGCTGCTGCGCGTAGTCCTGGGCAACTCCGGCGTTCGACATCGACGGGTGTTATGCACCGAACAGAGAGTTTTGAGCGCATGCATACTGCAAATAGGTAGTGGTCCGAATCTATGTTCGCACTGCGGTACGTGCGGACGTTGATAATGTCGGAGAAGAATTTCCCGTCGATTAGAACGTGATCGATTTGGTTTTCTGTGTGTTGGTCAGGTGATCTCCAGGTGGCTTTGTGGATATCCTTGCGGGGGAAAAAGGTACTTCGAACTACCACACCCCGAGAGGCTGCAAAGTTCACGCATCGTTGACCGTTGTCGTTCGATACGGCATGCAGGCTGTTTGGCCCGATTGTCGGTCTATACATTGCCTCCCGTCCTACCTGAGTGTTCTTGTCGCCGATGACGATTTTGACGACCCGTTGCGAACAGCCGTCGTACACCTGATCCAGCTGCGCATAGAACGCTTCTTTCTTGTCGTCGGGTCTCCCTTCGTGTGGGCAGTGCACGTTGATGATACTGTAGTTGAAGAAACGGCCCTTAATCCTCAACTTAATCCTGCCAACCAATCACGCGTTGGCGCATCTTACCCAGCACTACAAAGCCGGTTCCCAGCTCGTTGGTGGTGCCACAGCTCTGGTAGAAAGTAGCCGCTCGATGCCCGCTTTTTCATACCTTTTTTCCCGTTCAGCAAAGTTCCTGCAGTGCTACGACTTCGAAGTTGCGTGGTTGAAGTTCGTCATAGATTAACCTATCGCAGTCCGGGAAGCCGAGCGATTTGCAGTTCCATGTTCCGAATTTCCAATCGTAGTCCTTATTTTGTCGCGTAGGTCTGTGCCGATTGTTCCGATCCGTATTTCCTTCTTCAGTGCCCCATCCCCCTGTCTCGCCGGGAGACCATCGTGCACAGCTCTATTTAGAGTCCCACGCTGGCACTAGGACGGTGATCAGCCGCTCCTAACATGGAGAACAGACGCCGTTTTGAGCAGCACCTCCATGGGGAACAGACTCTCGGGTTTGGTGAAGAATTTCCTCTATCACCGTACTATGGTTACCGCGCCAGTGTTCGCGTCACACCTATTCACATTGCTATTGCCGGACTGGCAACATTGCCCAGGCTACGCCACTCAGCTGTGTCCATGTTTCAGCTGGTAGTCTTTTGTTATCATATGACTCGGGGAGGCGTGAAGTAGGAACTTGTGAGGTATTCCGCTTCTTCCAGGTTGTTAACTCACCATTTTGTACCCCAAGTTGAATTTTGTAGCAGAATGCCTACAAAGAAGTTTTTCAGCAAATATCAATTTCAAAATAAAATACAGTGAAATTGCAATTTTGGACATGCAGGAAACCGATTTCAAAGATTCAAATAAGTCCTGTGTATCTCAAAAAGGCAAAAACGATGTGCTGCTCAAATCGAGATCTAACTGCAGCAGACCATTAAAAAAAAAGCACAGGGATATAATAAACCGATCTAAACTATGTTGGTTTTATATGTTATGAACTGATGATGATGATGATGATAGTGATCTACCACTCATTGCAGCACGAAAACTAGTCCTCACTGTTGATCAAGCTTAATAGTCTCTGATTGTCATCAGAAAATCGCTGTATGGAGGGCCAAAAACGAATGGATGGATTGATAGCCAATTCGCCTATTCATTTCCTTGGGAGAGTTAAGAATCTCCTTGCAACAACTTGATCAGTCAATTGGTCAAAAAACAAGCCATCCCACAGGAAGATGCCTCAACTATTCGGGAGAAGAGTCCGCCCTTTATCCACGAAATGTTAGCAATAGGGAGTTGATATCTCCACTCTCCCCATCCAAATCGCTTCAATTGGGTGCCCTGTGGTCCCTCCTCATCCCGAATTTTTGATATATAGTAATATGTGATATAATAATCAGATAATCAGAATCACAACGTCTGCAAAAATATGCGAGTCTATTGAAATCTGCCGAAAATAAATGAGGGCTAAGTCGATTCTGTAGATAAGTGAAGCATAAGAGAAAGGAGAATCAAAGGTGTTGACATGCAGAATTAGAAGTCGTCGGGATTGAATGCGCATGGTTGAATATCGGTGCTCGAGTTATCCATTGCATTTCATCTAGTTATGATTATTGTCAATAAAACTTAAATTTCAATGAAGATGGTGCTACCTATTTTTGGTTATATATGTTGTGAACTGTACAAAAAAAAAATCATTTATTACCATTTATCCTATCATTTCCGTGACACCCCAATTGATGTGAATCTATCTTACAGGAAGGACAGCGACGTGGTAGCCCCGTACGAGAAATGGGAATACTTCGATCCCCGGATCCGCCAAGCCGAACAGGATCGCAACTACGCACTGAACAAAACCCGCAAGGTGGCCTGGTTCGTGTCCAACTGTGGAGCCCGGAACGGACGCCTGCAGTACGCACACGAGCTCCAGAAACATATTCAGGTAAGTTTTACACAAATCAAACATGTTCCCATAGATATATATAAATGGAGCACATCCTTGATCGCAATTCCAGGTGGACATTTACGGCGCCTGCGGGACCTATAAATGTTCCCGTACCACAGCGGAAAAGTGTTTCGAAATCCTCGACCGAGACTACAAGTTCTACCTAGCGTTCGAGAATTCCAACTGCAAGGACTACATCACGGAAAAGTTCTTCGTGAATGCCTTAAATCGTAACATCCTGCCGATCGTGATGGGCGCTCGGCCGGAGGACTACGAAGCCAGTTCCCCTCAGAAATCCTACATCCACGTGGATGAATTTGCCTCGCCCAAGGAACTGGCCGAGTATCTCAACATACTGAACCGCAACGACGAGCTGTACAATTCCTACTTTAAGTGGAAGGGTACGGGGGAGTTCATCAACACGTACTTTTGGTGCAGACTTTGCGCAATGCTGCACGATGAAGCGTCCTTCCAGAAGCCCAAGTGGTACGATGACATCAACGACTGGTGGCGAGGCCCGGGCGTCTGTACGAATGGGTCCTGGCGCAACTTCCACGCACGGAAGGACGCCATCAGCGAGGAATAGTGAATGGAAGAGCTAGGGAATAATCAAAATTTGCGATCGATGTGATTCGTTTGGATTTAGTTTACCATTCTTTTTCGGGATAAAGCCGAACCATACTCGGCTTTCATACCACAGTCCAAGCCAAAAGGAGGCAAGCCAGGAAAGCGAAAGGAATTAGCTCGTATCTATAGTTTAGGGAATTCAATTGACTTAGTAGGAACTTAGTTTGTTCGAGTAAACTGGAAACCAAAAAAAAAAAACTATCTAGTCCAACTTTACCAGACTTGAATAGTGGAAGACGGAAGGATCTCACAGGAAATAAGAAGTAAATTAAGCAGGAGGAGCCGAACAATCGCATAACATGACACAAATTCTAAGTTTAGTTAGTGGAGAACATTTCAACTACTACTACCTACCACTGGTGTACGTACAGTTTAGGGATAAACGCATTGCTGCTCATTTGTGATTTTAGTTGTATTGAGTTAGTTGTTGTTACCTTAGTCTAATTATATCATTAATCACGTCTCAACTGAATCTATCTCATTCATTTATCAGCATTAATCAGCATAAAAAAACATCCGTACTTTTTGGCAACGTGAAGACCGAAACCGAAACCAATGAAGAAAAAGTCTATTGCCAAGTGATATTCTTCGCATTACAATATTAATTACCGACGTTCACACACAAACAAACTACCGATTTTAGTTAGACGTTTTGTCATCTGAGAGGCAAATTAGTTCAAATTGACAACTAGCACGTATGAGTTACTGAGTCAATTCGATAAAAGTAATAGCATTCAAACTAGGCATGTTACAATCCACTATTGTTCTGGAGGGATCTCCGAGTCCGAAAAGGGGAACGTAAACGAACAGCAAGAAAAGGAAAAACACAGGAGTGTTAGCGGTAAGGAGAACAAGAACATTGTTCAAATAAATTTATGTTACTTAATGATATTTGCTAATTTAAATGATAATAAAGTAAAGAAAACAAGGATATATCAATCTTTTTTGGTGTAGATATTTGAATTCAATGGAATGGAACGGATCGATTTTTTTTTATTTTGCGAAAAGCGATGACTGCCATTGACCGAAAATACAGCGGATAAGCAAACAGGCAAAACTTTGTTCAACTTTGCAGTGCCACACTTCCTTGAATAATTAACCGATTTTGATGATGTACCTCGAACAATGACGTCGCGTAACCTAACTTTTTACCAAGTTTAAAAACGTGATATCTTGCAATAATTACATTCAAATCGATTGCAAAATGCACAGAATCTATTTTGAGAGCTGGTGCACAGGTAAATTGAGGTTAGGGCAACGCCACTGACCTCGAATCAATCTACATATGAACGCATGAACGAATCGTGACAAAGTGACTTATTAGCACATTTCTAGATCAACAAACAGTAGGCTGAACAACCAAACGTAAACAATGGCTAAAGTAAAGAGTAAAATCGATTGTTGCTAGGGGGTTATTTCGGGTTTCAAACTTGTGTCAAGAATTGCAACCTCAGTCCCTCCGTTCCGGTGTGTTTTCGAAAACAGGGTGAATTTTGAGCGATGTAGTCTGGCAGAGTAAACATAATCATTTTATTTTTTACATTATGAAGCTGGAAGGCAATGAAATATATTGAATATCGGATATCGGACCCGATATCGATATTGAAAATCCGATATCGAAATGATATCGATATTTTCAGAGACCGATATCGATATTATCGATACATACAAACTATACAAGTATAGAAGTGACAATAGGGAAGATGAAGAATCCATGGAATTTGATCCGGGAGAAAAAATAGACGAGCCATCACGTGACGTAAACCACCAAAGAAATGAAGAACTGGGTGAGAATCGATGGTCTAATGATAAAAAATCGGAATCGGCTCCACGTGCTGAAGTTGATGGTAGTCCCAGAAAGTGCAATAGGACAAATAAGGATAAAACACTTACACTTACAGCATTTGTTAAGCCTTTATTTATGTGAAGAGAATCTCAATTATATTTACCACGAAATAGATCATTCCGCGAAATGTCTTATCTACAACCTTTGTATGGTATGGGAATTCCATAGGTCATAATTGGAACACAACATATTAATAGGATCGTATAGCCATGACTGGTACATTTACCGTATGCGTGCACCATCGTGTTTCCCGTTTCACCTGTGCATACAATGCCTTGGTTTTCTTTGCATGCACGTAACCTATAGCTCATACCGTAGTAGGCTGTGTATAAAAGAAAATGATTTACTTAGCTTGAGAGTTGCACCATGACGAAGTGGCAGCGTATTCGTGATTTGTCCCACGCGCAAATGTCACAAAAAGACATTTTAATTGCCGTGGGAGTGTCCCGGTGGACCGTCAAAAGGGTTTTAGACCGAGAAAAGAAAGGACAACTATCCGCGAAGGTGGCCACAGGTCGACCGAGGTCAGCTCGGGTTCCGAGGGTTATCGCTGCTATCAAAAGTAAGATTCGGGTGAATCCAGTGCGTTCAATAAGGAAAATGGCAAAGGAACACGGGATCAGTGATTCTACGGCACGGAAGATCGTAAAGGAAGTTTGCGGGGCGAAGTCGAGGGCACGGAAAAAAACTCAAATGATTACCAACCGCATCCGGGAGTTACGAGTCGAACGATGCAAGAAAATCTTGAACTTCCTTAAGCGAAAAAATCCGGTAATCCTGTTCACCGACGAGACCATGTTTACCGTCGATCCCGTTTCAAATTCCAGAACCGACAGGTATATTAGTTGTCTTCCGGTAAAAGACGTGGCCGACGAGCACAAGAACGTGTATCTGACCAAGCATCCTGCTAGCGTTATGGTGTTTGGATTGGCGGCTTCCGATGGCAAAAAAATGGACCCGGTGTTCATTCTAGAAGGCGACAAGGTCATGTAGGTCTACATCGGGATTTTAAGTAAGTATGTTCTTCCGTGGATCGAAGAACAGTACGGTCCGAAGCCAAATGTTGTATTTCAACAAGATGGGGCTCCGTGCCACACCTCGAACCGCACTCAGAAGTGGTTGCAGGAACATCTTCCGATCTGGGCGAAGGATATGTGGCCGCCAACCAGTCCCGGTCTTAAATCGCTGGATTACTCAATATGGCGCGTCATGAATGCCAAGGCCTGTTCTAAACGCCGCCGAGTACAGAAAGCCTCAGACAAACATTGACCCGTACCTGGAGAGAAATGGATCCAGACTACATTATTAGAACCTGCCGTGCATTCCGGAAGCAAGTGGAAACTCGATCGATGATTAACATAGTTTAAGACTCTGAGAAACATCCGCACTCGAAAACGAAATTTTTGAGATTTTTTTTTTAATTTTGACATTGCTCAATCGTGCAAACATTATCACGCATACGGTACCCTATATAATTTCACTTGGTTACAGGCTTTCTTTCGTTCTACTTCCTGCTCACAAACCAACGATTCAATTCGTCCTAACAACTTATCTGTGGGATTTATTGAAACTTAAAGAAAGCACCATACAACTTAACATCTTATACAGAATCAATATCAACATAGGCGAGTCGGTACATGGGAATTAGAGAGGAAGGTAATACTTATGGGATTAACTCCAAACCGCAGCTCTCAGGCTCGTAGGTGTGTTGTACATTCAGGATTTCAATTATGTGGCACGAGGAGAATAATGCTCGCTACTTACCGAAACCGAACCGGATTCAGAATCGGCACGCCTTTAACTTGTGTAGCAGTTCCTTCAGCTCCTGATGATCGGCTTGCTGTAGCGATTTAGTAAATATTCTACGCTGAAGTGCATCTGCTTCGACGGTTTTCGACAGCTGTGAGGAACGAAATTAGTAGGTATTTATGCAATTGTTAAGACCTGACAAAATGTACCTCATGGGCCCGCTTGATGATGCATGTCGGCATACCGGCCAGTTTGGCCGCGTTGAACCCGTACGACTTGGGACAGGCTCCGTCGGCGTATTTGTAGAGGAATGTAACCGTTTCCTGGGTGGGATCCTCGTCGTCTTCGTTTTCCACCATACAAGCCTGTTTGTGGTAATTTAAATAATCGATTAACTCGAATAAATTCTAACATACCAATGTCAATTGTACGTACCATATGACCCAAGCGAACTCGACTGTCATCGGTGAAACTATCCACCAGATTGTGGTAGTGCGTGGAGAACATGGAGCGGCATTTGAGCTCGGCAAGAAAGTGAACAACTGCCCCAGCGATCGACGTCCCATCGTAGGTAGCAGTCCCGCGGCCCAGTTCGTCCAATAGGACCAAGCTCTTCCGGGTGGCATGCTTCAAGATCGTAGACGTCTCGTTTAGCTCCACGAAGAAAGTGCTATGCCCGGCCATAATATCGTCATTGGCCCCCAAGCGGGTGAAAATTCGATCGATCAGCGTCATTCGGCAGCTTTGGGCTGGGATGCGGGAACCTATTTGTGCCATAATCGCCAAGATGCCCACCTGACGCATCAGCGTACTCTTGCCGCCCATGTTGGGACCGGTCAGAAGAATCAGCGGAGCATCATCCCCTCCAATATTTACGCCATTCGGAATGTAGTTCTCTGAATCGCTGATACAAGGATGGATTCCTTCTTCCAACTCGAAGATTTGACCCTGATCGTCATCCAGGATTTCCGGAACGCACATGTTGCCCTCGCTCCGAGCGTACTCTGCCAGCGAAGTGAGAACATCCAACGTTCCTGTTAGATTGGTACAAGTCTTCCACATGTCGTAGCTGCTGGAAAACTTTTCGAAAATCCTCCTCGACAAATCTTTCAGGACTATTTTTCGCTGAGCTTCGGTATCCATCATCCGCTTTAGGAATTCTCGCGTTTCATCCGTGTGGTACCGCTTGACACCATTCTTGCCCTTCTTCTGCCCTTCCATCGTGTAACCGCTGTTGGCCTTCTTGGCCGCCCCTTCCGGGATTTCCAGCTGGAAGCGCTTCTTGTCCGTCCCAAAGTAACTGATCTTACAACCAAAGTACTTCTCCTGCTGGCATTTGTAATCCTCCAACTCCTTTAGGATTCCCTTTATCTCCTTATCGACGGCATCGTATTCTGCATCTAGACCTTCCCCAGGGGCAATTACTCCATCCTTCAGAGCTTGTTCGTGATCAAAAGTTTCCTCGAAGAATTGAATCTTATCGCCCATGTCCGGGAATGATCCATCTCGGTCGGAAGTCTGGGTCAAATGCACCAATAGTTTGGAAGAAGTACCTGCAAACAGTTCCGGCAGCTTAGTTAGAGCCTTGAAACCTCTTAACGTGTTGATAAAGTCCTGAATCTTCTTCTTCCCGTACGTTCGCTCTTCATATAGGATTGCCCTTCCGTCCGGATGGTTTTTGCTGCGTTCTGCATTTCCAAACGTGTGAATTTGAGCCAACATTCGCTCGAGATCTGGAAGTTCGCCGAGAATTTGCCGTACATCCTGCAGGAGGGAGACATCTTCCATCAGTTCAGTAATGGCTTCCTGTCGTTCGACGATCACATCTCGTTCGCAACTTGGCGAACAAACCCAATGGTGGAACAGACGCTTTCCAAACTTTGTACAGCAGTGGTCCATCCGGCTCAAAAGCGATTGTTCCCCATCCGTTATCCGGAGATTGTTCAAAGTGACCGAATCCAGCATCATGAATCGAATGTGATTGACGATCTTTAGATCCTTGCGGGACATTTCGTCGTCCAGTGGAACGTAAAGGTCGAAACTGGCCAGAGATATGATCTGCTGATCGAGTAGACACCGCTTCAGATACCAAATACAGCCTCCCAGCGCTTTGAGAGCTAGTTTGAAGCTTTCATCCGGAGTCAATCCCAAATGATCGTTCTTATCCAATAGGGAACGGATTACTTGGGGCCATTTGGACGTCTGTTCATCCGTAGAACCGCCGTAGAAGTTTTCCGCCAGATATTTCAACGTTTTCTCAGCGGACCAGAATTGCGATTCGTTGGTCAGTGCTTCCTTCCGAATTCCAGCCAGAACTGTTTTGAAAATCTGCTGGGTTCCAGTTGAAGCTACGTTTCGCTCGTGTAGGACTAACGCCGGTGGATAGTGGGACAGAAGTGTCAGAAGTCGAGAAGTTTGGTTATCATCTTCAAACTCTCCAATGTGAAATGTTCCCAAGGAAGTATCAATGAAACAAATGCCATACCGACTACCGATTTCTCCCTTGACCCGTTCCGTTATGGCCAACATGTATTTCGGCTGGTGATTGAACGTCCTCTGAACTTGCTGACTGTTAACCTCCGCCCCCTTGAGTGAAAGTTGACAAATCTCCCGCTTCACCACTTTGTCGTATTTGGTATTGGTTTTGTTCTTCTTGCACCTCTCCTGCATCATTTCCGGCGTTTCCGTCTGCTCAACTCTAGCGACCTTGTAGCCTTTATCTATCAAAAATGTCGACATTCGCTCGTATGCTTGCTCAGGAAAACCAGAATGTGCGAACTCTCCCTTCATGTAGGAAAATTGAAGTTCTTCCACTCCGACAGTGGCATCCATGTGATACAGTTCGTAGAATTTGCCCACCTTGAAGAACAGGACACAATCCATGTGACGGCATTTCAGCTCCCACCACTGACGCATGGCCTAAAAATAAATAAGATTCCGTTAAATTCTGCAGCCTTATCAATCGATTAAATCAAACTCACAGGAGTCAACGTATTCAGAAACGACTCAGGCACGAACAGTGTCCTTGAATCGTACTTCTCACTACCCAGTTTGTTACCCTGGATGTCTTTGATCTTTTCCGGTTTCAAGAAATCCAATTTCTGATGGGCCCAAACCATCGGCTCATCCAAAACGGATGCAGTATTATCGTCGATTTCGCCCAGATCAGCCAAGTCCTCCTTTTCTTCGTGAGAACTTTCCGTCTCCACTTTGATCTTCTTCTGCACTGGCGAGTCCACCGTGTCGTCTCTCTCCAGTCTCTTGAACGAAGACAACTCCACCTTCGGGGGCGTCTTATCATTCTTAACGCGATTCTCACTATCCGAATCCCCGCACTCATCCTCATCATCCATCATGACGATTCGTCTTCGCTTCTTCACCGGCTGGATCTCATCCTCATCCTCCTCATCCCCACCACCATCTCCAACAACAACCTTCGCTTTGGCAGCCGGAGATGGCGAAGCCTTCTCCTGTTTGATTCCCTTCGGAGTACCACCGGCACTACTACTTATCGGTGTCCCCGGGTTTGAAGCCGACGCCGGTTTAAGCTTCGGTGTAGCCGGCGATTTGGCGAAATAGTTGAACAGCGTGTTGGAGCTGTTTAGTTTGTCTTTGCTTTTGGACATGGCACTGGCAACTTCCGAAAAACAATCACAAATTTAGTAAAAACGGAACGGCACACACGAAAATTTAACAAAAACTTATTCAAATTCGATTTCAGGACTAAAATCGTTCCGTGAAGGATGCGAAATAATGCAGACCCCAAAACCTCGCCAAAAACACAACAAGCGCGCGCACTTTTAACTGGACAGAAAAAAGAGAAGAAGAAAAACATTTCGAAGGCTGCGTTCCTTGAGCGGTGAAACGCTTTGAAACGCAAATTGAGTCATGAGCGTACGTTTATTTTTTTTTAATTTTCTGATTCGAATTGACCGCTTCAGGTTTACGGGCAGGACCGTGTTTTGCTTTTTTTTTTAAGAAAATTCGTTTAGAAGTTTATTATAGAAGCTTCTTATTCATTTTTTTTGGAAGTTATAGATGCTATAAAACTTTTAGAAGCTTTTTATTATCGTTTCAGTTGAAAACCGGAAAATCCCACGAGCGCCAATTGAATTTACTCTCGTTCTGTACGTTAAACATAATGTCGGACATAGTGCGCTGTATTCGCACAATGATGTGCTATTCAGCGCACTATGTCCGACGTTATGTTTGACGTACAGAACGAGGATAAAATCCATTGTCGCGTGTGGGTTTTCCGGTGTCCAACTTGAACGACAATATTGAAGGTTCTTATAGAAGCTTTTTATTGTGGATTCTTTAAGAAGGCGCTTGCCCGTTCCTTTACTCCTGCATGTAACTAAAAAAAAAAACACGTGCAGAACCGTAAACAGTAAATCTGCGAACATAGTAACCTTAGTAGAAACCCTAAATGGAAGTTTTACTTTTAGCGTATTCTGATGCTTATATCAGAACGCAGCCGTGTCACAGTTTTCAAAATCCCCCTTATTCTGCGAGTCACGTGACTCTCTCTCACCGGTGAGGTGACAATTGTCACCTCGCGTGAGGTGACTCTCCATGCAAATCAAATGGAGAGTCACCTCACACGAGGTGACTATTGTCACCTCACCGGTGAGAGAGAGTCACGTGACTCGCAGAATAAGGGGGAATGTCATCTCCTGCTAAAACGTGGTCATACGTCGTGAAAAATAATCTTTAAAAAGTGTTGAAAAATGTTAGAAAATTGGCTCAATAGGTTACAGTTACGTGTACCGTTCGTGTAAAAAGTATGGAATTTGTGTTTTTAATCGTGTAAATTCGAAATCATCGTGCTTATCCGAAGTTGCTCAGCTGAATTAAATGGCTTCTCTTTGTCTAGCAGCAAGGGGTCGACCAGAAATGCCGTCACAATGAGAAAAAAATCCTGAAAATTTGATATAGAGGAAATGTCTAATGTTGGCCTATAGAGATTTTCACGTCCGATTGTATTGGTTCGATATGTGAGAGCGTGTTAGTGAATATCCGAGGAAAATACATAACAAATCGATGTCAAACTCATTTTGACAGATCTACTTTCATACATTTTTTAGGTTAGCCTGAGGAAAATAATAAACAACTTTACACGGCGTTGCCCCCGCTAGTGTGCGTGCGTTAAACGTCACTAATCTCTATGGATCTAAGATTGGGCCCATCGCTAAAAATCTGCTATTTATCAATTTTATCTAGATTATACATAGGTATTAATTCCTTTAGTTTTTTTTTCACAGATGGATCTCTAATAGAGGAGTCCACTAGTTTTGGTGTATTTAATAAATTTCAGAGCGCCTCTGAATTTCATAGAAAAAAAAAGTGTACAGCTGTTTTAAAGCCGCTTGCCCCGTAACGTGGGTAGATCACCTTTTCGTGGTACGTTACGGGATGTAAGATCTACCATCGATTCCTAGTCCTGAGTACTTCAAACCCAAGAGAGAGGAGCCAGCTCAAATGACAGATGCTTTGTTTTGGTTGTCTTCTTCTTCTTCCTTTTTGTTGAAAAAATTGTTGATGGAAAGAATCATTCAAACGAGGATGCGCGTTTGTCACTCGGTTTGTTGATATAGTTTTGCCGTCGGAGTGTTCAAACTTGTCGTGAACTGTAGGTTGTGAGCAAGTATCTTACTGCATATTGCTTAGAGCTATCGGGTTCGTATTAAACGGGTTTGATTTTGTGAATTCTGGTGATTAGGAGGAGGTTAAAAGTGATACACAGCAGATAAAATGCGTTGTCAAGTGAAGCGTTGCGGCCGGAACAAGAAAACCCACCCGGATGTGTTGTTTCACCGGTTTCCAAACGATCCATTGCATCAAGCACGGTGGGTTGAGTTTTGTAATGTAGGAGCTGATTTTATTGTCACAGATGCAATGAGAGTACTGGGCAGAGCTCGTCGGAAGCCGTTTGTTTTTGTTACACGATCCATATTTTATTTTTTTATTTGTATGGAAGAAAGCATCAACCAGCATTTTGAAAATCACCTCCAGTTAACCAAGCATCAATTTTCTTCTCTCGAAAAGTCTTTAAAATCATTACCTTTGGAAATTCCTGGTTGCCACAGTTTAAAAACCAAAATTATCAAAAGGTTTTTGAGATTCAAAGCAAACTCAAATCGTACGAAGAAATCGCGTAAGCGAAAATATGAATAGTCGAAGTATGCTAAATTGATACAAAAACTTCAAATAAGAATCAAGAGATACCACAATAAATATGTCTTTATTTCACAAATTAACAATTATTTTAGTCAGAAATCTGAAATAGACCACCCACTCCTTCACAGTAGTCGCCAAATAGTCAATGTATTGTGCAAAAAAATGGCTATTTTTTAGGAGCTCGGAGTAGCAGCATTTCAATGGAAAATAAATCCTTTGCGTGAAAACTACTAATAACACCCTCACCCTGCTTCACAATAAGTAACAGAAACGCCGAACGTCCAAAAACATTTGTATTTTGCACCGTCATTAACTGCCATTTCAAAAAAACTATCTTGAAAAAAAACAATACGCAGATTTTTTCCGATTAACAATACTTCCCCCACTTTATTGAATCAAAATTTCGGTTCGCAGTGACAGATCATGACTGGTTCGCATTGACGTTTACGCGATCGGCTTCAGAGCTAGCTGGCGCCTCTCTCTTGGCTTCAAACTAGGGGAACAGGATTTTTCAGTAATCCAAGGAACACATCTTAGTCCTTGTTACTTTTTATCCCTTTTTGATAGTGACAAGACTCGGCTTTGTCTACCGAGGAAGATTTTGAAACAAGGAAACAAAATTAGTTAGTTGTCTTCATCTAGGGGAATTTACGTATTCTCGTCAATCTAAGCAGCGTCTGCACTTCTACTAGCATTTTCTCAGCGTCACGCACATATATGATGTGTCTGTTTGTTTACATTCATCTGCTGCTTGCTTTTCTATCCATTCCAATCGACAGAATTTTTCAAAACGTTTTGAAAGCGTTTTTACAACGCTCCAAACTTCTCAGGTGAGTGTGACTATTGTCGGCAGCCTCTTTTTCTTCGGCAACCTTCCCATTAGAACTGCGTGTTAACCAGCTGTTCTATTATCGGCAACTCGAAATCAACCCCATTTAGTGCGTATGCTTTATTTGAAGAAAAATGTAGCATTACTGGATTGCTCGATCGTTCAAATATAATCAGATTGAAGCTGAAAGGCTAAACAATCGTTTGGACACATTCAGGGAAGTGCGTTGATGGGAAAACATAGTGAAATTAACGTTTAAATTTTGGTTGCCGAAAACAGTCAATGGGTGCCGAAGCCAACATTTACCCTATGTGATTCCTAATCTTCTCATCGTTGTTCCCTAGTTTGAAGTGGTTAAGACTAGGGTTCTGATGCATGGTCATTATCGGTGTCATACCTTAATTTTGTTAGCAACAATCCAATTTTGACTGACAAAGGGGCGCGCCTTTGGGGGTGTTTCAACACTCCGAAGGGTATAAATAGCGGGACCTTTCAATTAGAGTCGGATCCTTGCGATAAATGCAAGGGTGGCAACTGTAAAAAAAATCGAATACTTCATCATTTCCCAATAGTGATGGAGAAATACGACATGCACTAAACTCAGGACACGGGATATATTACAATAGATCAATTTACTGGTCGCAGTAGTGTTAGGTCCCGAACAGAGAAAAAAAAAACAGCCGCTATTATTTACATCCTGTCCTCATTCTTTATTGTTCAAATTCACTAATCAAGTGCAAAGGCCTCAAATTCCAATATCAATCTGAGTAAGAAATTAACCAGTAATAGACCCCCATACGGTAGTAGAAAATACACAACTTAACAGCAGCAGTGACAAATTTCCAGGGTCAGTTGTTTATAAACAGTTGCTACCGCGTCGTCAGCGATGCGCGCTGGCTTAACTAGGTGCTTCGAGAAAGGTCAAAGTAAACATTGGTGAGTAAGCATCCTACATAGCCGTTCCTACCGCGAGGAGCATTAATTCTTGTTAAAAAAACAGACACCGACTTTCCAAGAGAAAAGCTATCTGTCTCGCTTTATATGTACATACTGGAGAAAAACTATTGTGTAGAGTTTAAGTAACAAATTCATGTATAAAAGGTTTCGAAGAATAAAGAATCGGGGCAGTTGTTCTGATGAGTTATTATCCGAGGTTTGCTAGGTGCGGACGAGCACAGTTCCAACCTCAGGATAACTGATTCATCAAAGAGCTTTTTCCATACAGTAGAAATGGAATTGCACTGTCTTTCATTTTACGAAGAAAGAAAGACCACGCGAGTTGTTGCTCTACGTTGGGCACTTCAACACGGGAGTGAAACATGGATGCGCAACGGAGTATGGGCGCTTCATCTGGTGACAGCGGAAACTAAACCGCTATTTTCAAGTGTTGGAACGCCAAAATTTCGACTGGCTAAAATCAGTAAGTGTTAAAAAACCAAAAAGTGACTTTGATTAAATAACAAAAAAAGAAAGAAGTGAACTAGTGATTAATAAGGAGTACAGCACATTGGTGCACATCTGGTCAACTATAAAGATATGGGAACTTCATCGCAGACTCAACAAGGAATAACCCTGATCCTGCTCCTGATAGGGTGAGTACACAAAAAAAAAAATAAAAAATTGTGTAAAGTTCTGATACATTACCGTATTATAAATATTTTACGCGTACAATATTATAAATAGTATACATTTCATCTTTGTAAACAACATTTCTTGCAAGATGCTTAATGCTTAATCAACCACTTTAAGGGAACGTTAA